ATTTTCCATTCTTTCCTGTTCTCCTTCCTGAGTTCACAAATCGGCTATTTTAATTCTTGAAATAAATCAAATTCACGCTCTCGAATATACTCACACACTTAAAGAAAGTGACCATTTAAACTCGTGCACATAGCACGGAATAGAACCGCACGCTGTTGATTTAATTTTTTTTTGTTTACCAGTATCTTTTATTTGAAAAATGACCATATATTATGTTCGACAGAACAATTCACGGTTTGGTAAATTAATTATGTTTATTACCGATATTGTTGATTCAACTTATATGGATTTTTGTTATTTTTCTCGCCGTTATACTACGAAATTAAAAACACAATTATTTCAGATAACAAACTGACTGTCAAAAGTTGAGTTAATAATATTTTTTTCTCTACGCAGAGAAATATGTGTATTATATAGTCGACGATCTATCAACGCGTTCAGCTCGAGCGTTTTCTGATTCGAGGCGAATCGATCGGCTTCGTCGTTATTTTACCGCGCCGTTCATTTCTGTGGGGATGGTTGCAGGGCGTTAACATTTCCTTACGAACTTCACCATGGCGACGGCGACGCCGAGCCAGGTTGCATTGATTCTCTTAAGCGGGTCACGGCGAGCAGTAGGATTGTCGTCGAACGCCGGACGGCACGCCGGCGTTCTTTCACGATCTTCACCTTGGACCTCTGATCGTGAAAACTCGCTTTTCACGGTCAAGGTGGAATCGCGTCCCGGCTGGTCACTCTACCGGGGGGAGTGGATTAAAAAGAGGTGATATATTTCTATATGCTACAAATGCTCTCGTGGAAAATTGCATTTCATTCTCTCTATCGCAACACGTTCACGTCTTTACGTTATTATTGACGATTCAATCGCATTAGTTTGCGACGCGGTGAAGAAACATGACGGAGCACAAAGGCACGTCTTATTTTCATTCGTGCGTGAAGATGCCGGTGGATCCTTACAGCCGACAACCGACCCCGTCGTACGAGCGTCCTCAGTTGTCGTCCGCGGGTCAAAGATCACAGGACCGAGTGAAGAAAATTAATTTCGCGGAGAACGAATCGATAGCCGCTATCGAAGATTCGGAATTGTCGTTGAGTTCTCCGCGCGACAATCTCGAGAACTTTTTGGAATTTCTGAAGAGCATACCCGATTACGGACAGGTGAATCATCTGTCGAACGAGCAGTTCAAGCAGAAAGTTGATTATCTGAGACGGAAGCAGCGATTGCTGCTCGAGAATCTGAGAAATTCGTTGAGTCGCGACGCGGATAAATCGGTGTCGCGACTGTCGATCGCGAAGAACGACAGTTCGAAGTCGAAAATTGTCAAACCGAACGTTCCGATGGATCTCAAATTAAACGGCAAGAAGTGCTACCTCGAAGAATCGAGAACCAGCAGTCCGATACTGTTTCCGTTCGGTAGTTTCGCCGGTCTCGCCGAGGATCAAGATCTTTTAACGTACAGGTGAGTACGTATCGAAGGCAAAATCATAGAGAAAGAAGAACCGTGACAATATATCTCTTTCGAAACGTGTAATATATTTTTAACAATTATTTATACTCTTTTTTTATAATTAATACTTTATTTTGTTTTCTCAAAAAAAAACAAACTTTTATTTAAAAAATTTATTTAATGTTGTTTGTATGTTTGTATTATTTGCAGATGCAGAGACAAGGACAAGGAGACGAAAACGATGCGCAACAAGGAGATACTCGCCGCGAACAAGAGTTGGAGCACGTGGAGCGAGTCGAAGAGCAACAGTTTGAACAGCGACGATGAGGACAACATCGAAACCAAAAGCTTGCCGCCAAACTTTGCGAAAGAGTGGCATCCCACGGTGCCGAAACCGTTTAGCTTCACTCTGAGGTGCTCGCAACACTCAAAAAACACATCAATGAATAAAAAAAAAATAAATAAAAAAAAGAATAAAAATTCACAAACATTTCTCTGCGAGAGTTTTTATTTGAAAATAATTACTCAGAAAAGGAGGATGGATTGTAAAAAAAGTAGTTTTTATTAGCAGCTAACGCGAATCAAAAAGTCAAATTGTTTCTGCAAGGGGGGCAACATTGCGTTATATTCTTAACAACAACAGAAAAGTCCAATTGACGTTTCTATAAAATAAGACGTGGTTGATAAACCGTCAGAAATAAAAATGCATGTATTTTTTATATTTTGCTTCAGGGAAGAGGCGGAAAAATATATGACGGAAGTGGAAGCGGCCGAGCGCGCAAATCAAGACAACGAGAAGAAGAGTCCTGCGAAAAAGCGACGAGTCAGACCGATTCCTATCACGTCCAAGATACCGCTCTACGACAAACTTATGGCCGAGAAAGAAGAAAGGTCGATGATACAGATAATGTTGTTGTTGTTGTTTTTTGTTTTTTTTTTCGTATAACATAGGCAGAAAAAAAATTTAATCGCAGATTTGTGCGAAAGTCCATAATATTTTTTTTCTACAAAAATGTACAACAGGTGTCTTTTGCGTTTTCTTCTCAGATCGCAAATATTATATATAAAATATTATAATAATGTTATATAAATTAATAGATCGCGCAAATGTGAGAAAACGCAAATTGAAAATAATAAATTTTATTTTATCTCCTAATTTTTTTTAGAAGTCGCATTGTGCGCGAGGAGAGCGCGCTAAACTTGTTGTCGCAGGTGCGACCTTTCAAGCTGGAATGTGATCGCCGCGCCTGGCGATCTCTGGTGCGATCTAGTCCTCAGCTTAGTTATTCGAGCAAGAATAGCTCCTCGCGCTTCAAAGCCAAACCGGTACCGAGAAACTTGTTCGGAACCGAAATTTACGATCGCATGCTCGAGGACGAATACTATAGGTAAAAACTCTCTCGTCGTTTTTTACATTTCCGGTTTCTGTTTGTTTTTCTACCTTCAAATAATATTTTTGGTCGACGATCAAGATTTTTTTTTTGAAATTGAGAATCGGATACAGTGTGTAGAATTTCCGCGCGCGCGCGCGCGCGCACGTTGTTTTTAGGCAATTGAAGAAAAGGGTGAGGGCAGCGGAGCTGTTGAGATCCTCCGTCTTGCCGCCGTCGATGGCAAGACGCGAGCGAATCAAGTCCGCGCTTTCCCAAAGCACGGTCGGCAAAGAGGAGGAGGACGAGGAGGAGACATCCGTTACCCCGTTAACGACCATGACGGACGGTACCAGATCCGCGATGACGTCCATGATGTCCGCGCGCGGAAATAATCTGGCCGCGATTCTGAGATGTCAGGCTTCCCGGTACGAAGGTTTACTAGAAGGTCGATGAGAAAACACAAATGTCACGACCTTTTTGTATGTTTTTTTCGAGAGAATTTCGAGAAAAACATGTTTCTCGAAACATTCTTCGTTTAATTTCAATACAAATGTTTTGTACGCACGTAAAGTAAAAAATGTAAATGAAGATTGCAAATAAACGTGTTCGCAGAGAGAAATTGGAACGAGAGATACGAGAACGAATGGAGGAGAAGAGACGGGAACAAATGATGAAGATCAGAGAGACGCTGATAGGTCGGAAACCCGCTTGGAGAGCCCTGAGATCGGCCGCGAGGTACGCGGATTAGATAGATCTGTAATAAATGTAAGCATCCCTCTTTAATGTCTCAGGATATTGAATATCGTAATATCGCGAAAAAAAAAAAAAAACAAAGGAACGAGCACAACAGGGACCTGGACATACGGACGTCTCTCCGTCGCGACGAAGCGCGAGAACAAGCCGAATATCATCGCTTGCAGATGGAGATGATGCTGGATCGCGTGACACAAATACCAACTCTTTTCGAACGACATTCCCAGGTATCGTTTGCGAATGTCACAGTCGTTAACACTTTTCTTTTAATTATTACATTGTTATATAACTTAAAAAAAATTTATATATATTAATTATATATTAAATAATATATTATAATATATAC